TAGATAATATAATCGTCACATTATTCGAAAATTAAAATAATCATGACTTGCAGCCCTATATAACATACAAGTGCCATCAGTTTTATAAAGATTTAACCGTCTGTTTCTAGCTTGGATTGCGCCTCTTCACAATGGAAAGTATAAAACATGCTGCCAAAATAGATGAGTCAGTTCATATTATTCAAGTCTCAAACCTCATCACCACCCAATTAACAAAACAGTAATGACCTCAATAACTATGGCTAATGAGAGCACCCAAATGTGTTGTGTTTGTACTGTCTGTCTGTCTAAGAAGTAATCTCCAAGCTATGACACCATATAAGAGAATCTAGAGCACGTTATCACACTGAGAGTTAGGTATATGAGTCACAGTTATATTTAAAGGGCAATCAACATGTTTACAAACTTAACCAGTCACTAAACTTAATTGTAAAGGAATATTCACGCCTTTTAATGCGCATCCTATATTAGTAACAGTGACATAACACAAGTGTGAAGTCCGAAAATGATATGACTGAATGGTGTGCTAGCTGATAGCCTCCTCTAGTAACGTCCACCTCTTAAAGTTAACCAGGTAAGTATCATTAGCTCCTTAGCGTCCACTGACGTTAACGTGAGCTAGCTAAATAACCTCTTAGCTCATTCTTTAGGGGAATACCTTTTGAAGGATGGAAAACATTTATCTTTATCACGGCTTAACATGTAGCTCGTCCTGGTTTCTAGTCAGTTAGCAAACACGCTACAAAAGCCATGTAATTGGGTTCTACAGTGAGCTTTTAAGAGTCGTGGAGCTATAACGTAGCTGCGTGTGCCGCATCCACACCAGCTAGTGCTGCTTAGCTTGGCGAGCTAACAAGCATTATCCGGCAGGCTCATTAAAAACACACACATCCATCAAACCTACAAACCAACCTGAGATCCCCGCTGCGACCCAGAAGATGCCCCGTTGATGCCGTCACCTTTGTACCACGAACCGTGCAGAGCAGAAATAATTCAAATTCCACAGAAAGTGTCGGGAGAGACGCTCGCAGTCCAATCGCTTCAGCCACCGCCGCTGAATGGCTGCTGCGCGAGGACTCCACCGAACGTCCTCCTTAGCAACGGACCGCCTCCGCGCGACCTCATTGGACCGGCGCGTGCGGAGTGATCGGTAGGCGACAGAGCAACCTGTAAGCAAACCGGAATTTCGCTGCATTTATTTCATTTATGATTTATATATATATATATATATAT